CATGAGGCTCTTTGGACCTTCCGCAGTGACTTGATGCAATTTGCTGGGTTCCTTATATAGGAAACATTATTTCTGATTGGCCTAATGAACTGACCTGAATTGGAATGTTTATTATGTGAAGTGCCTTGAGACGACTCTTGTCGTGATTTGGCGCTATATAAATAAACTTGAATGGAATGGAATGGTATTAGATTAACTTGTATTTTAATGACATTTATTCCATCTGTTAACATTTTAATGTGCCATTCCCAGTGCCCAGATCTAATTTACTGGTTACGCTGGTTTAAGTTTAGCATCACAACTGAGATTCAGTGTTACTCCGAGTGTGCAGGTTATGAAAATGCAACATTATCCATCTGCAGCATGCAAGATTTTAAATGACTCCCACATCAAGTTACATTTTGTGAGTAAAAATAGACTCAATCAAAATGACACTGAGGACATGAAATAAAGAAAAACACCAGACACTATTTGTGGTTTTATAGTAATTTATGTACACTAGCTGAAAACGATGTTATGGAAGGCTCTCGTTAGCGCTGAGGTACGATGGTTATAAGTTTGAGTTGAAGAATTAAAGAACTTTTAGCGTCTTAATGCCCATCATCCCCTCTGAGCCTGGCGGAAACTAAACGAACCAACGGACACTGTCACAGCAGTTAACGCCTCACTGAAGCCTTGGCAGTCTGGCAAACGCGTTAAAAATACCTTTAGGGCTAATGCCTCAAACCAAAGCTTTGTAATCACACAGCTGAAAATGTTTTGTTGTTTTAACAATTTCTTAGTGGGTGTAAACTCCTCATGTCTCAGCAGGTAGACTTTGCTTCATCAAGGATCAGTAACTAATGGTTTGTATGAACGGGTGGAAGATATATAGAGGGATCTGTGGATAGGTGGGTGGATGGATGGATGGATGGATGGATGGATGGATGGATGGATAAATTAGGGAACTTTTTCCATATTAAGTATTAATAAATGAGTTTTGTTTAGTTTCTGGCGCCCTATACGTGTTCACAGTAAACTGATACGTTTTCAAATGCAGACCTAACAAAAGCTGGGTCTCAGAAGGTTAATTTAAAATACATCCAAACACAGATTATAGAGTTTCCCTTTGGTTGAAAAAAAGAAAGTTAAAATCTACATTTTTGTGAATTCAGAATTGCTTAAATGGTAAAGACACTTTCCAAACTAGAAAAGCCAAGAGTATCTGGGCTATCTCATTATAGTAATGATATATTTCCATGTCTCCAGTATAACAGTGGTATAGCCCTGTTTGTAAACAGCTAAAAGTACTTAGATTTTTATTGATTAAATTAGTGATTCACACCTTGATTTATTAATGCGCTTTCAGACAAATGTTGCTGTAGCATGAAAATGGATTCAAAATACTACAGATAAGCCATAGCTGCTCTTTTGTTGCAGGGCAAGACATGATTGCAGAGTGATTGGGCAATCAGTTGCATTACCATTCATTAATTTTGATCAGAGAAAAGACCAAAATAATCCTCACGTATGCCAAATCCATTCCTGCATTAACATCAGACTTGTGTAAAACTATCAGGACTGAGGTGTCCCTGGCTCTTCTGGCTTTAGCTCAGTTCTACTTTTGTCCTGAACACATTCTTGTTCAAAGCCGTTGTTATGCATCAGTATCACGTGTGCGAGTACAAAGGCTCTGAACAAGGGGGTTGAAGTTGATCTGCCATTATGCATCCCAACAGGTCTGATGAAACTTTAATGACTATTGTTAAAGCTGGATCCCGACTTTCTCTTGCGAGATCCTGAGCTTATTTAGCAAGATACTGACTTTATTTAGCGAAATTCCAGGATATTGCTAAACAAACCAGTCTGGATCCCACAAAAGAAACTCAGGATCTCAACATACGACAACCCAACTTTGTCTTGCGAGATCCTGAGTTTCTTTTGTCGGATCCAGACTAGGTGTTGGAATTTTTTAGGCAGATATAGTCCCACACAGGAGACTTCAACCGCTAGAGCAGTCCTGATGGTTGTTGTCACTGGTTCTGCTTCTGCTGCGTACACACGTTCGGTTTCACTTTGGTGTTAGTCTGTGCTGGACGCACCGTCGTCTTTTTGTTTTTTATTGGTGGCGTTGGAGAAATCTTTAAGGGGAGTTAACTAAGGTTAAAAGTCAAAACGGTTAATCCCTGCAACCCTACCCAGACTTGTTTTGTGTGATCCTGAGACTCAGGATCTCGCAAAACAAAGTCAGGATCCCATCCATCTATTTTCTTCCTGGAGCCGGGTCGCAGGAAGTCGAGAGGCCCAGACTTCCCTCTCCCCAGCCACTTGGGCCAGCTCCTCTGGGGGAATCCCAAGGCTTTCCCTGACCAGCAGAGGGAAAAAGTCCCTCCAGCGTGTCCTGGGTCTTCCTTTGGGTCTCCTCCCAGTTGGACGTGCCTGGAAAACCTCAGCAGGGAGGCATCCAGGAGGCATCCTAACTAGATGCAACTAGATGCCTCCTGGACTCCGCCCCAGGGCAGCTGTGGCTACATCGTAGCTCATCACCATCCGTGAGTGAATGTATGTGTGAATGCATGAATGATACACTGTAGTGTAAAGCGCTTTGGAGTCCTTTCTCTGAGAGGCGCTATACAAGTGCGGGTCATTAATCATTTAGATTCCCGAGCCACCTCAATTGGCTCCTCTTGATGTGGAGGAGCAGCAGATCCACTGCAAGCCCCTCCCGGTTGTCCGAGCTTCTCACCCTATGGAGAGCCCAGCCACCCAGCTGAGAAAACTAATTTCGGCCACTTGTATTTGCAGTCTCGTTGTTTTGGTCACTACCCAAACCTCGTGACCATATGTGAGAGTAGGAATGCAGATCGACCGGTAAAGCGAGAGCTTCGCCTGACTTTTTTTTTTTTGAGAGATCCTGAATTTCTTTTGTGAGATCAGTTTTGTTTGGAGGTATCCCGAGTCCACCTTTGCGAGATCCAGAGTCTCTTTTGCAAGATACCGATATTATTTTCCTTTTTTCTTAAGAGGATCTGCTTCCCATACAAGTATTTCATTTTTGCACTGAGGAAAACATTTGGGCTCTCACCGTGGTGCCGGACTGATGACGGTACTGTGAGATGACACATGCTTGGTTCTTCTTTCTTTAAAGTTCCGGGTGTTTTTCCTGCGAAACCTCTGCGCTTTGCTCCGCTCTGGAGAAGCCGGGACCTTCTTTCCCTCCAACATGGCCAATCATACACACATAAACGCAGACAAGCACACACACACATGCACGCTTCCTGATGACCTTTACGTCTCTCAGACTGAATACGTCCAGGAACCCCACAGATGATGGAAAAGTAAAAGGGGAATATTTTAAATGGTTGAATCTAAGGTCTGGTCCAAAACATTTCCCATGGAGGAGAATTCCCAGAGAACCAAATCCAAAAAGTCAACTCATTTTGTTAGAATCGGAAATAAAATCTACCGTCATCATCTCCTCATGTTAATCCAGATATCAAGATATTTAGAATCCCAGCAGTAGAACCTGGATCTCTTTAGATTACAAAAACTAGCTGTGCAGGAGTCCAGCTACAAGAGGAGAATAAGGAGGAAGGCTCTGCTGCTCCACGCTAAACTCATCCCTCTGAGGCAGCAGCTGGAGGGGGAGAAAGCCAGAGAGGGGGGAGAGATAGAGAGAAGGCAGAAAAAAGAAGAGAAGACAAGTCATACTAGAAACTCCAGCTTCTAACCTTCCTGTAAATAAATCCATCATTTTGATTTATTTTCACAATTTAACTTCATGATTTAATTGCAGTTGTGCTCATATTCAAATTTCTGTCCTGTTGAATAATAATGAAGCTTTTATACATTGACTCAAATTTTCATATTGAAGACAGAACAAGGTAAACCACAGCTACCTTCTCCAGCTCATCTACAGGTACTTCCAGGCTTTCCCAGGTCAGCTTGGAGATTTGAGGTCTCCTCCCACTGATAAGTGTCTGAAACACATTCATGATCTCATCCTAGATCATTACTGAGGGTTTCTCCCCTCACCACAACCGATTAGTACCCAATAAATCTACCCACTTGATCTCTCTCTCTCTCTGTTCTCACCTGTGAGCAAACCCCACCTGGATCTGTGTCTTGGAGGTGATTTCCAGGTGAGGACATCAGATCAACAGGCACCTGCTGGAGATGCTGATGTAAGGAGGCCAACAGGACAAAATCATTGGCTTCTTCTGCTTACCCTCTCACTGATGACCTCTGGTGGTCAGAAGAGCAAAGCTCACACAAGTGAAGTAAACGGTTTACTTGTAGATCAGACTAACGGTTTTATAGTTGAAAAATATTAATAAATGGTAATCTGCTTTTTAACACTACTTTTCTTTTGAAAATCACAAAATATTTATCTAATTTTACTGTTGTGTATTTAAAGCACATTTATAGATTCTTGTGTGAAAATATTTTTGTTTCCTTCAGTTGAGACCAGTTTTAATTATTTAGGTGGACTGATTTTTATTTATACTTCTTTAGTTTTTTCATTTTTAACTACCAATTAATCAAAAAAATTTGTATTAAATTTCAAAGAGTTCCTACTAAATATATTCAGAAAAACTTCAGTGATCCTAGAAACTACATAAAAAAATCCCCTAAACATGAGTTATTTATTATTTTCTTAATTCATTAAGTTAATAAGTTGATCAAAAATAATTAAATTATTTAATCTACTAATTAATAAAAAAAAGATCAGAAATAGCTCAAAGAAATAAAAATGTTTACACAAAAAAACTAATAAAAAACAACCGTCGGTCTTAAATGAGTTTAATTTATTTATTATGTTTAGATTTACTGCAGGTGAAGTCTACATGTGTTCTTATATCTCACAGTAATATTAATTGTATTTTTCATCAGAACCTAAAATAAATGTTCTGTTTTTCCTCTTCCCAAGTTGGAACCATAAATACCAAACATTTAGTGATTTTTACACAGAAAAATCCAAAAACTCAACATATAAACAAAGCAAGAATGACACGCGAGTCTGACGTTGTTAAAAGTGTTATTTTGTTCCACGACATAAAAAGGAAACATCCACCCACCAGAGACAGACACAGCAGGACTCATGTAGTGCAACAGGCTTCACAGTCAGCAGGACGTAACATCGATTAGAAACAAAAACTAGGGATCACCCTGTACACAAATATTTACACGTTCACACTAACGTCAGGTGTTTAGATTAAAATAGACGTATCTGTGTAAGCCGATTCCTCCAGCAGGAACAGAAGAATCAGGGTTTCATCCTTAGATTAAATCTCAACCCTGTCTGATTTACTTTTACACAAATAATGAAGAAAAATAAAGTAGAAATCAGATAATAGATCCCAGATAAGACATGATTATAATGCTAATAAACAAAAACTTCATCTCATTTATATATTTACTGCTTTAATGCACCAAGGCCTTCCACTGGCAATAACACACGTACAGATACCTCTTCTGCTGTGTGAGTAAACTTAATCGGACTGTTTATAGTTAATAAAAAATGCCCTTAACATTAAAACACACGTGCACTTCCTCCACTCGGTTTAGATGATATGTTCATTTAGGCTGAATGAGGTAATAAAGATGCTTCAGTGCTCCGTAAAAAGTTACGGCAATCCAAAACCGGCTGATTATAAACAAAAACAACTAAATTACCCAGAATTCTTCTGGTCCCTAACCCTCCTGTCCACACAACATCTGAGCTTTTAATGAGAAATACGTCAGTCTCAGTCTTCAGTGCCTCTGTGTGGAGTGGAAGCTAAGCTAAGCTAAGCTAATTCTAACAGATTCATCGCCTCGCTTTATCCTGGATCGTTATTAAACGTCGAGTGTGTGCTGAAACAGAGAAAACTTTTAAATGATTTCTAATAAAACAGAGTTTAGGGAGAATTTTGAATGTTCTTGATTTGTATTTTGATATGTTTGTTCATGTGGACATTACCTAGTAACATGGGGGAGGTATTTCGGCGTGGAATAATCTGGAAAAAAGATTCTCATGAACAGGGAAATAAAAAACGTCCAGAGTGTTGTAGATGGGGCCCAATTACACCTGTAGGCTGAACGTTGTTTATGCTAGCTAACGTTTGCTTTTAGCAGCATTGATCCACTGAAGTAGCTCAACGTCAGAAATCTAATAAAAATCAAACCCTATATTGTTTTTACTCTTGCCTTTCATTTGTGGTTTGAGCTCCAAAATGTGGCGACCTCAGCAAAATGTCACTTAGTTCCAGTTTTCTTTGCTTTGTTTCACAGTTATGATTTAAACTCTGAGGGATGAATGCTTCTTCCTACGGGTCCAGAGCATCTTCAGGTGACCTGGTGTGGCACCAAACCCTCGTTATTGAGTCTGGATCTTAGGCTATGTGCATGCTTGTGCTACGCAGGTGGAGTTGGGAGCAGATTATGAGCCACAATCACAGATTTGGAGCTTTATGTTAATTATAATCCCAAAAAAATCTGATTATTTCATATTGTTTCACAGGTGCTTTCTATTTAGCTTTTGAAGCATTTTTATCGGAGGAAAACAAACTTCGAGACATCAGATGACATCATTTTGTAAACATTCTGCTGGAGAGGACCAGGACTTCCAGTTCAGAGATGCTTTCAAATAAAAAGAAATTAAACAAAACGTAGTCATGATTTTTTTTCTGATTGTTAGAGGGGTGTTTGAAAGGAACAGGTGACCCGCCTGATAAGCAGCTTTGTGACGGACCTGAAGTTACCTGGCTGTGAGGTTAATCCAGCTCTGTCGCATAGATTAGTCATTACTGATCCGCAACAACAAACAGAAAACATCAGGGGCAAAAACTACATCTGACAACTAGCAGCTTTTGTCTCAATCCTCAGGCGTGGTACTTTGTATATTCTTAATTTTCTTCAGATTAATAACAGACCCCTTCATCTCCCCGTCAACAAGAACAACCCTAAAATCCCGTCTTTCGCTGTCTGACCACCCGTCTACGTGATGTTGTTTATGGGGTTGCTGATCTTCAGACAGCACCAGTAGATGGTTTTCACCAAGGTGACGAAGACGAGCAGGATAGGCAGGACCCACGACACGTAGATGCCTTTAGAATGCTGGGCACTCCTCCACGTACCAACCTGAACACACACACACACACACACACACACACACACACACACACACACACACACACACACACACACACACACACACACACACAACACAACACAACACAACACAACACAACACAACACAACACAACACACACACACACACACACACACACACACACACACACACACACACACACACACACACACACACACACAACACAACACAACACAACACAACACAACACACACACACACACACACACACACACACACCAGGAAATGACGGAATTGTGGTTTTCTTCAAATCAAGCTGGATGTACGATAACATTTACAAACATGACAGGAAGTGACATCATACCATTGAAACATTACAAGCTATTGAACCAATATTGCAAGGATGAAGTCTATAAAGGGCCAGCATTCTCCAGCATCGTTTTACCTGGACGACGGAGGTTGTTCTGACAGAAACACTAGAATACCAAACACACACACACGTGTTTGAACTTGTACTTGTTACGGTTTGTCCATCAGAAAAATGTCACGTAACCAATGTAACCAATCTGCATAGTGTTATTACAATAAGTCCCTTTCCATCGTTTCAGGAAGCTGGCAAATCGGCTTCTTTTGGGCGTTTTCCTCCAGTCCCCACTCAGCACAGCTCGACTCGGTTCAGTTAGTTCCAAGGTGTTCCGAGTGTACTGAGCCTAGAGTCGGGAATCGAAAACCGGTTCTTGTTGAGAACCAGTTCCCATTGGTTCAACTACCTAGGAATCGTTCGCCACTTTTGCAAACGATTCCCCTTATCAATTCCGGTTGGTGCCGAATGACGTCACCGCGCAATGGAAGCAGGAAACATGGCGTCTAAGCGGCACACACGCACGAAAGTTTGGTTATATTTTACAAGAAAGCATGACAACAAGGTAACTTGCAATAATTGCAAAGTAGATATTTCATCAAGAGAGGAAGCGTTGTGAATATACAAAAGTGTTTGGGCACAAAATACGTGATAACTTAGGGTTAATGACGTGTTTTGACCCGTTCCGGACTCGTGAATATCAACGCAGCAGCAGCAGCGATGTTCACACGTCCTCTCTTGTTATTACTGCAGGCAACTACCGTATTTTCCGGACTAAGAGCCGCTACTTTTTCCCCACGCTTTGAAACATGCGGCTTATAATGAGGTGCGGCTTTAGGCAACCAGAAAGGATGGATGCTGGAAAGTCTAATGAAGGAATTGTTAAAGGAGTGCTACGGAAAGCGCCCAGGAGGATTTTTTTCACAGTAAAGCGGCGCTGCTTGTTTTCCCAGCTTCACCCTGGGATGATGACAGCAACACGGAGAGTGACACTGACATCGCCACAGAAAAGGTATGTGACGAAGCTCTTCTGAGGCTGTTCAACTCCAACACTGAAGAAGATGACTTCAGTGGTTTCAGTGCGCAGGAGGATGATGAATACCGTAAATCCTCTAATACAGGCCGGGGCCTGTATTTTACCCAAGCTCATCAAGCTCCAGGTCTTTATTGGAAGGAGGGCCAGAATTAGAGGCAGACCTAAATTTCTATTTGAGCAAAATGAACTACCAGTAGAATGAATAAAAACGGGGTGTGTCTATTTGAACCTACAAAATTCTTGGTTCATTTATTGAAAATGTACAGTTACCATAACGTGGTACGGTTTGCATATAAAACATTAACAACAAGGCTAAATTACAGTAGGGAAATACTGTATTGTAACAAAACAATAGCAAACATACCTGTACTGCATTTTAAATGTTATTAAATACCGGTATCAGAAAAGGCCACAGCCACCTTACCGCTTCAAAGTTGAATTGTTTCGTCTTGTTTGGGTTGTACGAAAAATAAAATAAAAACCCTCAATTTCAATTCAATCTTTGTCCAGTTTAAAGTAAAAATAAAATATCTGTAATCCAATTCAGTTTAATCCTTATCCAGTTTGATGGGTTGATGTTAAAACGTTTAGCAGCTTGCTCCCCAGAGTGTTCTGCAGCATAATCAGCACGTTCTCTTTGAACTTTTTATCAAATTTTTGCCTCCTCTTTGGCTCCGCACCTGCCATGGTTAAAATTACCCTAGCGGTCTATCACTGGCAAATCAAAAGTGAGACGGATGACACAGCCGCCCCCCTGTGGTACTTGCCTGCTACCACATTCCACCCGGCCACAATAAAAAAAAACAGCCATTATTCACCTCCGCTGACTCCGACACTGGCCAAAATGTGATACCCGGCAGTTAATTGAATACAGGCCAATATTAGAGGATTTACGGTAAACTAATCAATAACTTTTCTGTTTTGTTTGATACTGATCAGTTCAGTTACGTTCAGTTAAACTACGTTTTCAATTCAGTAGATATCTGCGGCTTTTAGCCCGGTGCGGCTTGTATTGAGGTGCGCTCTATAGTCCGGAAATTACGGTAATCAACTAACACTGTTTAACATGTTAGCGTCATTAGCCTCATATACACACCTCCACACTAGCAGACTCCAGTGACAAAGGTCTGACATGTGGTGAGATTTTTCCCACTCTACAAAAGCTACAGCAACAAGATGACTCTGCCTTCACAGGGAGCATAAAGGAGAACATTTGGAAAGATATTTCCAACCAAAACAGGTACAACTGATTATTTATCATAAAGAAACTGGCAGTTATATTGCAGGAGCTGTGTGCAGTTAGTTTTTTGCCACCTGTTTACCTACTCTGGAACTGAGAAGGGAATTGGCTCGATAGACAAAAAACTTATCAATTCCCACCCCTAAATGAGTCGTGCTGAAAACTCGATATTAGAGACTGTCGACCACTGATTGGCCAGGGGGTGGAGGCACTGGTTGCTCCGGAGTGATCCACCTCGCAGCCTTTTCCAGGTCTTCACTTTTCAGACTCTGACAAAAAGCAGCTGGTTGAGCAGAATGTTCATCATCGCTACCAAGTTCTCCATTATTGTGTTGTTTGTGGGTCACCCTTGAACTTTGGAGACCGTCCCACTATATGACAAACCCACCCATTTATCAGGTGTAACGGAAAACCACCTAAGCTGGCAGAGTCAGGGACAAAAAATGAGGGACAGAGACGAGAAACAGAGCGGACAACAGCAAATCATGTCTAAGATGCTCACAGCCCTAATATTAGCCATAGTGGCACCATGAAAAGTACTTAGAAACACAACCAAAAGCTTCTGGTCCTTACAAGTAGGGGCGGGCAATATAAACGATATAAAATTGGGTAATGACAGAGTTTTTGGCTATATCGCAATACCGCGATAACACATGACGTCACTAAATGTGCTTTTATAGGACACACCATGTCGGCATATCGGCGTAATATTATCGCAATGGTATGTCTATAAGCGCGCCAAGCCGGTGCATGGCGTTGCGCGAATATTGCGGCATTCATTCCGCCTCGCTTGGTAGTAATACCAAACGCGTGTCAGCCCCGCTAATCCCTTTGGAGCGACTGTGAGAGCCCCCCCCAAAAGAGGGTGGTCGCGTTAGTCACGTGTACTGCGCGCCAGCCGGAAGGAAAGCCGGCTGGACGGACGTGGAGACCATGGAGCTTTTGGCCGTGCGAGCGGACGAACAGATTAGTCGCCTTTTTACGGGGACGGTGAGAGACAGCCGGCTATTTAACAGAGTGGTGAAAACACTGGCTGAGCAGGGCGTCAAGCAGGACAAAAAGCAGGTCATATCAAAGGTAAAGGTCCTGAAAAAGAAATTTCATCAGTCTGACGTGTCTTCCGTCTGACGCTGAATGCGTGACCCTGTACGTCACATGCGGGGCAGGGTGGGGGTGCACCCAGCGACCTCCCTATATCCTGTCTTGGTTGGAGAGGTCTGATGGCAGTTTATTCTAGCTTCAGCTTTGCTACTATAAATGCCAAAATCCTCCCCAGGGCACCGCGGCAAATCCCGTTTTGAAAATGCTATGGTCCTATTAAAACAGCTTAAGATGTGCGCCCTGCTGACATTGGGGTAACAGAATGGCAGTGACTGCAAGCATGGAGTGGGCGGAGGAGGAGGCCTATATGCCTCAGGTGGCATATATTTGCCACATGAGGATATTTAAAAGCATGTATAAACAGAGGAAAAATATATCACAATATATATCGTTACCGCACGTGCTTCAGATTATATCGCAATATAGATCTGAGGCCATATCGCCCAGCCCTACTTACAAGCTAGTGGTCGATGCGCCACTTTGTGAGTTTAAGCGTTGTTGCATCCTGCAACCCAGAACCACACCAATTTTACTATTTGGTGTTTAAAATAGTTGGCACAACAGATCCAGGATCAGCTGGGAGAGCTGCAATAAACCACAGCTTTTGTGATCACATGATCGTGTTGGTAAATTTAAAATTTAGCTCTGAAACCAGTAGATCGTTCAGCTCTAACTGCAACTGTGTTAACGTGAAGATGGTAGTAAAATATTGTAAATAAAACAGGCAGGAATCCCAGTTTAGTTCATAACAGAACTGAAAAATGTCATTTCACACCATGATGATGTCACTTCAGCAGAGATTTTAGGAAGTCTTTCATCACCAGACACAGAAAAGTAACAGATCTGAATTCACCCACCAGAAGTCCGACCGTTGTGGCTGCAAAGACAACAAACAGCAGGAAACACAGCCAGCTCTTCCTCCTCGGGTAGTGCCGGCCAATAGAGGAACTGGAGAGCAAATCAACGAGAAAGGTTTCACATTTTAAAACCAAACAATACGTAAAGCAGCAAAGAAGATAAAACACACAAAGAGCAGCTGAGATGCTTACACTTTTCTGCAGTGTGGACACCGAGCCAAGGTCCGATCAGAAATCTCCGTCCACTGGGAGGCAAGAAAATCAGAGCATGAGTCTTAATGTGTCTAATGAGTTAAAGGAAGCTGCAGCCAAAGCTGGAGCCTGTTTCTGTGTGTTTACCAGGAAAGTGCAGGTGCAGTGTCCACACATGACCCGCAGGCCAACGGGCTGGTGCTGCGGTTCTGGACTGTCGTTGCTGATGTGGACCGGTCCCAGGTTGATGACACGTTTACTGCCGGGAAAACGGTTAAAGGAAAACTGAAAACTGCCGATTTGAAGCAGCTCATGAAGGAAGGAGCTCTCACGGGTGATGCAATCACTAGAAAACACTCGTGAAATGCTCCTCACACACTGATTAATTAAAAGGATCTCACCAGTACGGCCTTGGACAGGCGATTTTCTGTGACGTAACTTTGCAGATCAGCAGACAGTTACACGGACAGCGGACGTACTTCTTCCCAACAGGAGCGTTCTTAATTGGCTGAAGATGCAAAAAAACATAAGAGACAAACAGGAAGTAAGTTTAGGATATGCCAAACTGAGCAACCAGGTGTTTCTGGTCCTCTGTGATTTAGTTGTGATCTAATTAAAAGAAACTTTGCAGATCGGATGATAGAAAAAGTGGAAAAGTCGTATTTCTACCCTTATGTCAGATCATTTAAAGGGACTTTACAGAGTTTTGAATTTTTATGCTCACGATTGCCCCCACAGGCCAAAAGCGTAATGGCAGCTTCAATAGTAGGCTCGTGCAAGAGGCGCGCATGCTGTACGTGCACACTCCTTAACGAAAATAACAGCTGAGAGAGTCCCGTGTGTGTGTGTGTGTGTGTGTGTGTGTGTGTGTGTGTGTGTGTGTGTGTGTGTGTGTGTGTGTGTGTGTGTGTGTGTGTGTGTGTGTGTGTGTGTGTGTGTGTGTGTGTGTGTGTGTGTGTGTGTGGCCCGGAGGACAGAGGACAGGAGAACGCGCAGCTAATTAATTAAATAATTTGGCTCTGTACCTTTCTCTTCAGCACAGCCGACAAAGGTTTATGATGGGTCAGTCCTCCTGCATGCTCAGATCATTCCCTTCCCTTGCGTGAAAAATTGTTCCAAAATGAAAGTTGAACCCACATCTTTTTTATCTGTGAATTCAACGCCGTTCGGCGAGTGGCAAATAAAAATTTGGGCATCTTACTGTAAAAAAACTATACCATTAATGTAAAAAAGAAACTCTAAGTAATCTAGGTTCACATCCAGAATCAAACCCAGGTCTTCTGCACGAGAGTCCGACGTCTTACTATGTGAGCTAAAGCGCCAGTGACGTCCTTTGTATCTGTAATATTTATATCCTTGATGACAGCTGAAACAACGATTAAAGAACGGTTCGGAGCGAAAATGGCTATTTTGTTGCTAATTTGCAGGAAATATCTAGAAGAAAGTTCTACAGAAAGTAGCTAAGGGTCCTCAGAAATGTAGCTAGGTTCATCACTAGGCGTTAGGAACAGCGACAAAGTCGCTGAGTTGGCACTGCCTCTCTCTCTGCTGCTAAAGCTACAGATAGCAAATGCTACGAGCGATGCCTGAGCGTGAACGCGCATGAAGCAGCCTGCTCGACCCGAGCATCTCTCTTTTTCTGTGATTTTACAGAAAAACAGGCAATCACAGTAAAAATGCCAGGGCTCATTCTACAGGACCAGGGCATTGCAGGAGAATGTATGAAGAAGACATTTATTATTTCTATACACGTTTTGGCTGTCAAACTTCCATAATGCCCCTTTAAAGGTTTGAACTCCTTTGGCTCACCGTGGCTTCGTTACAGATGCTGCACTTCACCACATGCTGGTGCGTCTTGCCCTCCACAGATATGGTGCTCTGACAGACCCTGCAGCTGATGACCAGAGCACTGCTGCTGTCCGGGCTGCCCTGCGGCGAGTACGGAGGCGGAGGTTCTCCAGGTTCTACCGAGCTGGGGAACAGCGCCGCACCTGAGGCAGGGGATATGAAGCGTGCACTTACAGATTTCCTCAGTTTCTGCTAATAAACGATTCTGACCAGCAAACAGATGTCAACATCAAAGATATGTCTCCAGATCAACCTGGGCCCCAAACTCAACAACTGGTCTGCTAATGAGTCTCTCGGGTCGCTGTGGAGGACGTTTGTTCCTCTCTTCTTTATAGAATTGTTTTCGTTCAGCCACATTGGAGGGTTTTCTGTTGGAGGTCAAAGGTCAGACATTCTCCATCCTTTTGTGTTAGAGATCAGAGAGAATAACCATCAATTAAAGCAGAATGAATTTTACATCAGACACCTTCCAAAACGTTCCACTTTTGTCTCGTTAGTCAACAGAATGTTACCCCAAAGTTCTGGGATCACTACGATATTTTGGTAACTGTGAGGTGAGCCTTTGTGTTTGGGTCAGAGGTTCTGGCCTTGCTGTTGGACTCATGAACAATAACTCTAAGATCAGATCTGGGAATTTGCTGGTGGATAATCCCAGATGCTTCATGATTTAACAAGAGGGTCATCGACGTCTCCAGACTGGTCCAGGTTGGTTTTGGATGATGTGATATCTGATGGCATCACTTAAAAGAAAAAGTTTGTATTTATTGTGGTTTATTGATCTGAAACATTACAGCCGTGTAGCTACATGCAGTGTGGAGGGACAACAGAAGAAAACTACATGAATTTAGCTAAAACAGAGGAAGCTGGGACAGAAAACCACGAGGAACTCTGCTGTTGTCTTACAATGACTCAGCTACTTTACTTTTATCTAGTGATCATGAATATTAAGGAGGACAAAGCAAAAATCCTATTGACTAGTACAGGAAGTAAGAAGGCCAAACAAACAAGATTTACCAGAAAGGATGGTTTCTAAAACAGAATAGTAAATGAAAGGAGCCGTATAGAATAGTTCAGAGCAAATTAATTTAGGTCTACATGTTTGAAAACAAAATTTAAAAAGATGTTTCTTGATTTTATTTGAAGAATGGCTTAATGCAAGAGGAAGTGCTGACACAGGATCACATGCTTCTTCACTAACCTTGTTATTATTTTAGAAGTAAACAAATATTTGCTATTGAAATAAACTTTAAATCTGCGTTTTGGTTCTGAAGAACATCTGAATGAGTTTTATGGGTTCTTGGAACAAGTAACCTTATTAAATTATCAGATATTACCATTTCATGTATGAAACATTATTGTAACCTCTGTAATTTTATAATAGAAACTTTAAACTAATGATCATTATAGAATAATAAATGTAAACGTGTAAAATGCGTTCTAGGTGTGTCTGATTGCCAAAGAAACCAAGCCCTGGGCTAATACTTGTTTACATTGTGACATTGTTCAGGCTAAACGCATCTTAAGTGTTTTTTTACGGCTCAGAAACGTGTTATTAATAAATCTGTATGATTTAGTTCAGTTAAAAAAAAACATACTCCATGGATATCCACGCGTGTCTCCCCCAGGAGAGAAGCCGTTGGTCCCGTCGTGCTGCTCGGACAAGAGCGGTGACCGTTCCTCGTCCGCCATGGCTGACCACCGGACCCGAGCCTCTCGGAGCGCACGCTCAAAGAGCCTCTGCCACGGGGTAGTCCTTCTTTGGCCGGCCCGGTCGGTAAGGATTTCCGGGAGATTCGGGAGATTTTAACCCAGGGGAGTTCGGGTTTAAGACGTTCACATGACAGGGCGAAAAACGCTCAATGAATGAGGAAGCGATTCAACAAAAACATTCGTCACATGACTGTGGTTTGAGTCACGCTAGTGATTGACAGTTAGCTCAACCAATGAATGAATGCAGGGCGACAATAGGCGGGGCTTAAAAAATTTCCCAAAAATTGAGTTTTACAAATTAAATAAAATGAAATGTTACTTTATTTGAAAGTGAGTATAAATTAGTTCTGCTTTTTATCAAAGCTAATATATTTAAATTAATTGTGGGGAAAAAAATCTACATTCCGATAGTTGGCGATTTCAGTAGGTTTGAAACTGCTTAAAAACCACCACCGAAGAAGAAAGTTTTCCCCACAAAAAAACAAAACGACCTCCGGATGCAGTCTGTGCTTGTTGAAAACACATGACGAGACAACGTGCCAAGAAACTGAGGTAATGTTCATCAAACGACACTGTTAAATGTTTTTACTCACGGGAATTGGTGTGTTTGTTTGAAGTGTTCATGGGCGCTAAGAGCAGACGACTGCACTTTAAGTCCCAACATTCGCGCGTATGTGCAATAGTTTGACGATTAGATCTTGAGAAGAACCTCATGCTGCAACACTAGGTAGGTCTTGATTTGTATTGCGCATTAAAAATGGGGAAACAACACTCAGGGTTTACCCCTCTCGCAATCCAAATGTAGAAATCTGGTTACAAGTTAAAGTTTTACTGTGTAAACAGGAAGTATTCAAATCTAAATGTGTTATTTAGAGGGACGCATAAGCCAAAGGAAGCTTGATTTTTCGCATGTGTTTCCTGTAAAATTTTAAAAGTTGCAGAAAAAGAAAATCGTGCGACCATAAAATGTCATTTTACACACTAGCTGTTTAAAATCATCAGTATAAAAAGTTCTATAGATTCTCTGATAAAGTTTTTTGGGCATGTTTGCAATTTTGCACATTAAAAAACTAGAAAACGTTTCTGATTAAACATGTTCTTAATGAAGGGATACTCTAGCCTAGTAGCCTAGTGAACTAGACTGAATTCTTGCCTTGCAAAGTTAAATAATAATGTTATTTAGTCTGGCTCGCCAAGATAATGATACTCTTAAAGGAACTGATCCACCCACGAGGCCTTATCAGGCAGCCAGAAGCACTTCCTTTTAAAGCATACTCACTCCATTGTTGTTGTTGGACTTTTAGGGGAGTAGCTTTTTGCTGTCTGAGGGGTTTGCATTGTTGAGAAGATTTTAAAAAAGTAAACCTGCGTGATGTCCCATACATCCAACCAAGCATAAATGGAGAAACACAATACATACACATTAAAATCAATAAATGGTAAATTACTATGTTCTTTTAAATACTTTTTTCACTTTTTAATATAAATCTTTTAAGTTGTTTCATTATTTGAATTCTTTATACAAATGTACCAGTTTATATATGTAAATGTATTTAAAATGTATTTTTGTACTTGGTTCCAACTCTCTCCACTATCCTGTTTCGTTTCTCCTTGTAACGTTTTTGTTTTCATGTCATGACATACGAAGGAACTTGCAGAAAATTGTCAAACTGTTTTCATCCAGCTGCTGTTGTGAAAATAGGAAGACTATATAAAAAAAACTGCACAGTCAAAGAGGACTTCTTAATCTTAACACAGCCGTAGCAAGTTCTGCAGAGGCTGCAGGTTGGATTAATGGTGATATAAAATATATTCTCAAGAGTTTTTGAGTCTTAGGAATTTGTTACTTAATGCTGACATGCAAACTTTCTGGATGTACAACGATGCACTGTCTACAACAGTAAACGGGGAGCAATTCAACCTAACCCTCCATTCACCCTCCTTGACATGAACTATTTAAATTAATTTTCTAAATCTTGAAAATCCCCTTCAGGCTGTGTTACATATGACTGATGCTTGGTTTTTTTTTATGGTTGTAGAAACTTTTTTATTTTAAGTTTTAAAAGTAATCCATTTCTAAAATATGATAAATTATTAATTCAACCAAAGAAGGGTAAAAACTGTTTTTATGAACTTTTCTACAGTGTTAGGAGAGTAATGGGTAGCCAAGCGCAGCTAATCGATCACAGTGATTATTGGATCCTCTGTATAAAGGAGTACCGTATTTTCACGACCATAAGGCGCACCTAAAAGTCTTTTCTCCAAAATGTACGCCGCGCCCTATGTTGCGGTGCGCCTATTATGTTGTTGTGAGACACGAACGTAGTAGAAGACAAGGGGTGTGGCGTGAATGTGCGGACGTGAGCGAAGACTGACCCCGAATAGTTCAAAAGGTCAGGTATGCGCGGTATGCTGAACATTGTTCTGACAACTCTGAGGATGGCCCCTGCTAAGAGACACGCCTATGAAGCACAGTTTAAACTGCAAGCGATCAGCTACGCGGAGAAACACGGGAATGGAGCAGCGGCGAGAGAATTCAGCAGTAATGAGTCCATGGTTCGCAAGTGGAGGAAGTTGGAAAACGAACTCCGACAAGTAAAGAAGACGCAGCTGTGTTTCCGCGGGCACAAAGCCAGGTGGCCTGAGCTGGAAGACCGCCACGAGCAATGGGTTAACGAGCAGAGGACGTCAGCGCATGCAGTGAGGAAGTGCTCGTGCACCAGGTCTGAACCAGGACTAGACCAGTAAAGTGATACATGCTTTTGGCTGTTTATAATTGTCACAATGTCTGCTTTGCACTGATATGTTCTGAGTCCGCACAGATGTTTTACCGGTACGTTCTACCGCACCCGCGTCCTATAACCCGGTGCGCCTTTTGTATGCGTTAAATACAAAAAAGACACCCGTAACTGAAGCTGCGCCCTATAACACGGTGCGCCCTATGGTCATGAAAATACGGTATTCTCCACAAAATTTAAATTTTGTCTTTTGACACATTTCCCAGAGTTGGATAAGATAGAAAAACCATTTTTAATCAGCCCAGTCATCTTCCTGACCTGCTGTCGGTACCACATCTACTCGGGCAGCCAGATCAGCTCGGGTCCTGCATCTCAATCAATCAATCAAAGCCCAAGGTACTGAACATGGTACATGAGAAATGTGAAACCTGATGAATAAATCGAAAATAAAAGCAATTCAAATAGTGCGAAAAAGGTAAAGCATTAAAGTAGAAGACAAATGGGTAAAACAAGGGATAAAGAGACCAATGAAAACAGGGAAATAAAATACATAAAAGAGGGCCAAATTCAAACACGTTCAGGGAACGCCAAGCGGAGGAGGTGGGTTCTTAGGCGACTCTTAAAGACTGGCAGAGATGGGGACAGCCTAACTGAGGGTGGCAACAGCCAATATGGCGTCGTAAACAAACCTGGTCACGTGACGCCTGGAGCTCTATTGATTAGAGAAATGTTATTTATCTTTTAACATCACTTGTGTCTGCAGCCAAACCGTCTCATAAAAACCAGCATTTGCTTTAATTGTACATTTAACTGATTTGACCCCTTTTATCTCTCCACAGCGTCTGTATTCACCGATGAGAAAGATCAAGTGAAGGACTGATGAATAGAGTTATGGGAACTGAGATGTAGCCTCTGTGGTATGTTCTGGACATATATTTTCTGTTTATACATCACTGGATGTGGTTAAAATGCTGTTTTATAGAGTGCTCTGGTTGTACTGTGTAATGTTTCTTCTCTTTAAACTCAAACTCTTGTGTTTTCTGTTACTGTGAATAGTTAAGTGGGTACAAACATGTTAAAAGGATTATGCACGTAACATTTTCAAGGTTAATTAGTATTTTGGGGTTAAGGTTTATTTGTTAGCAGTGATTCAGCTTGTAGTCCGTGCTCTCATAAAGGGGTCCAGAGGTTTTGCTGTATAGAGGTTGTGAGGGTTGGTTTTAAACAAACACTAGATGATGCACTATTGATAAAACCATCTGGTTGATGATTAAACACGTCAAACACTGCTGTTGCACTCAGAATTGGAAGTTATTTTTTTAATTGGTCAGCAACTTTATAAAACCAGAAGATTCCCAACTCTGCAAGAAGACCAAAGATTTAAATGCAGCATCCTGACCCCAGCATCAGGTGTAATGTAGGTGTAATACTCTGAACTACAGATTTGGGGGAAGAAGATCTACGTTGACACCCACGTCAGCTGAAACTGTCCAAAGAATTTTCGTGTGCCCTTTTCATGTGCTGAGCTTCAACAAGCTTTTTAAACTGGGCTCCTTTTTCTGGTGTTGTAAAATACCTCACAAGTGTTGGAATTCCAGCTCTTCATCCCCAAGAACAAACATCGCCACAGCTGTGAAGACAAACTTTCCCATCCTCAACTTGATGATGTGCCACATTTTCCCAGAAGTACAACGAAGTTTCAGATTCAATGGAGGACAAACCTTTCAGTTCAACATAAGTCGGAAAACCTAAAGCTCGGCATGTGAACTCAACCCTGGACAGATTGATGCAGCTCAAGAATCGTTGATTTCTTTAAAAGAAATGGCAGAGTAAACGTCAAAAAACCTTGCAATGCCCATCCCAAAAAAGTAGCCACCAAAATAAAACGTCACACACTCTAATATTTCAATTGACCACCTTTAGCTTTGATTACGGCCCAGATTTGCTGTGTGTTGTTTCCATAAGCTTGTGCAGTGTCACCAGATTTATTTCCATCAAGTGTTGCATTCATGTTTCACCAAGATCTTGCACTGATGATGGTAGAGTCTGACCACTGCACAAAGCTTTCTCCAGCCCATCCCAAAGATTCTCAATGGGGTGAAGGTCTGGACTCTGTGGTGGCCAATCCATGTGTGAAAATGATGGCTCATGCTCCCTGAACCACCCTTTCACTATCAGAGCCCGATGAGTCCTGGCATTGTCATCTTGGGACATGCCCATGCCATCAGGGAAGAAAACATCCATTGATGGAACAACCTGGCCATTCAGCATATTCAGGTAGTCGGCTGATCTCATTCTTGAGGTTAATGTTGATCAATTGGTAATTTCTATTTAATTTGACCAAAATTTGATGGGATTTAATAGTTTTTGACCAGACATTCAAATAATTAAAAGTTAAATTTTGATTGTTGATTCCCCTGCATTCACTCCCTGCATTAGCTTCTGACAGAAAATAGACAGTAAAAATTAGGGATGTCCTGTTCCGATTTCGGAAGTCATTTGATATGGGCCCAAAAACCGTGTATCGGATAATTGGACGGCATCAAAAATCTCCGATAAAAGCAGTCCGTTAAGGTTCACATTTTTGCAACCAACGGTTTAAGATTTTTTTTTTTTACGTTCATACTTACTGTTATTGGCTGTTGTTCTCCAATTGAGAAATATCACTTGATCAAGCCTTTCATACATTCCACACTACGAAATGGGCGAAAGTATGCATGATTTATGCTGATATCGTATTGGATTGATATCGGTCAATAATGAAGTCTGCAATATCTGTATTATATCTTAAGTGAAAAAGTTTCATCAGGACATCCCTAGTAATAATCTGGGATTAGAAAACCCTGACAGATCTACGTAACACTGTCATGGTTCATGGACATGCATCAGGGAAGGTTACAGTCAGGTCCAGCAGAACCAGAACAGAACATTCCTTTGCATTAATGTGAGTCAGAAGGTCTTTAGAGATGCTATTTAGAGGCTTAAACATTCCCATTGGTTAAAAAAAAAGTCCTCAAACCCCTTGAAACAAGTTTAGATTACGTTGACTCGGAACGCATTTTTGTTGTAGATGCACATTTAAAACACTTGAGGAGTGTCAAATCTGTCCAGTGGTTCTTGTGATATTTGCTGACTTTGTTGATTACCAGCATTAAAAATAAAATGCATTTACTCAACCATCTGAAGAGATTTGCAGTCATCTTAAAAAGCTGCTGAAGAAGGGATGGTGTCTTTCAAAACAAGATTCTTGTCTGAACAACCACGATGGCCATTTTAGAACCACAAGCAGAAGATTTTCTCGTTGCTGTGAGACCCCCAAGACAAACCTCCACAATCTGTGACAAGAACAGCTGTTTCTGAAAGTTGGCCTACAAATTCGTCACATCCTACAAACAAGAACTGTAGCTGCAACAGGACGTGTTTGCAAGCCAATGTACTGGCACCAAATTTATTGCTTCCTTTTGGGAAACATTGGGGGGGGGGGGCTATTAAGATTCAGGATATTGGAAAAAATGTTTTCTCAAGAAAATCAATATACTCACTTGGCTAATCACAGTAACAATTTGACCAATGGTATTCTTATGTTAATGTTACTTTGAAAAAGTGTTAAAGTCATGCTTATTTTCAGTTTGTTTTGTTCATTTTAAGCTTGTGCTTACCTCACATCATTGTGTGTTCTGTTACTTTTAGTAGTTTGTCTCTTGACCGTGATACTCACAAGGTTTTACAACAATCAGCTCTATTTAATTTATTTTTGTCAGGAACACACATTCTACAGTTCAGTAGTTAACCCTTTAAGCACCTAAGTTGCAAAATTGTGACAAACCTAATTGCTGAGTTTAACGAGTTACAGTTGCAAATAGGATCCCTTATGAAGGTATTACTTTACCTGTTTCTGGTGAAAGTTTTTGAAGTTTACTAAGCATGAAAACTGCCTCCCGCCGGGAGGCTCCCAGTCGAGGAGCGGAAACGAGTGGCGCACACGGAGGACGAATACTCTCCTAAAGGATTATTAGGAACACCTGTTCAACTTCTCCTTAATTCAAGTATCTAATCAACCAATCACATGGCAGTTGCTTCAATGCATTTAGGGGTGTGGTCCTGGTCAAGACAATCTCCTGAACTCCAAACTGAAGGTCAGAATGGGAAAGAAAGGTGATTTAAGCAATTTTAAGCGTGGCATGGTTGTTGGTGCCTGACGGGCCGGTCTGAGTATTTCACAATCTGCTCAGTTACTGGGATTTTCACGCACAACCATTTCTAGGGTTTACAAAGAATGGTGGGAAAAGGGAAAAACATCCAGTATGCGGCAGTCCTGTGGGCGAAAATGCCTTGTTGATGCTAGAGGTCAGAGGAGAATGGGCTGACTTATTCAAGCACAGCCTTGAGACGGATGGGCTACAACAGCAGAAGACCCCACCGGGTACCACTCATCTCCACTAAAGCCCCATTCCCATCTGTACCGGGTCGGGCCGGGCAGCGTAGGTTGTTTACATATCTGGGTGGCCTGGAATTTTCCCGGGCCAACCAAGGCTCATTCTCAGCCCTCTTCTCAAGGGGGTCTGCTTCAGGCCGACCAGGGCCAACACACCCACTGCTGACAGCAAATTCACACCTTCCATTAGAGCAAGCCTCTGATTGGTGGGTAGAATCGGCCCACATGGGCTCAAGGCAAGGATGTGTGGAATCAACCGGGCCAGGCTGGGGCTGACTGGGGCTACCCGGCCCGGTACAGATGGGAATGGCCCATTAGCTACTTTCTTCTAGACAATTCCTGCAAATTAGCAACAAAATAGCCATTTACGCTCCGAATCGTTCTTTGAACGTTGTTTCAGCTGTCATCACAGATATAAACATTACAGATACTAAAAACATCACTGGTGGTTTAGCTCACCTAGTAAAACGTCGGACTCTTGTGCAGGAGACCTGGGTTCGATTCTGGATGTGAACATAGTTTATTTAGAGTGCATTTTTTACATTAATGGTATAATTTTTTACAGTAAGATGCCCAAATTTTTATTTGAGACTCGCCGAACGGCATTGTATTCACAGATAAAAAAGATGTGGGTTCAACTTTCATTTTGGAACAATTTTTTAAGCAAGGGAAGGGAATGATCTGAGCATGCAGGAGGACTGACCCATCTTAAACCTTTGTCGGCTGTGCTGAAGAGAAAGGTACAGAACCAAATAATTTAATTAATTAGCTGCTCGTTCTCTTGTCCTCTGTCCTCCGGGCCACACACACACACCGGGACTGTCTCAGCTGTTCGTTAAGGAGTGTGCACGTACCGCATGCGCGCCTCGTGCACGAGCCTACTATTGAAGCTAGGGTTGTCACGGTATGAAAATTTAACCTCACGGTTATTGTGACCAAAATTATCACGGTTTTCGGTATTATCGCGGTATTTTTTAAACGGTGTTGCATATGTTCAGAAAGCATTGATAGTCCTGTTCTACACAAACTGAAATAGTTTAGAAAAGGTTTAACAGTGTTTATTAAACCTAAAATAACACAAAGCCTTAGCAAAAGTGCAACTTTTCACAAGTAAAGGAACAAATAGCTTCTTTTTCTGGAACATGTTACAGTAGTCAGTGCAGGTTTAAATTATACAAATTCAAACATTCGAAACATAAACAATATGTAAACAAATCAAAGAAACACCACTTGTTTTCTCATATACTTGTTTTCTTCATTATCAAAATGAAAATCTAAAACTCCAGTCCACACTTGACTTGAGCACTGTACAAGTCAACCTTAAAAAAAATATGTATTTAAAATAAACAGCCACTTTAAACAAATTACTAAAATAACTACTACACTATGTAATCAAATCCAAATGTTCAAGTATAAATGGCATTGAATAAGTAAACAAATCAATGACAAGGAACTAATTGTATATTTCTCTTCATCATCAAC